AGAAGAGGAGAGAGCCAGAACAGGCAAGCAGTTTAGAGGCTGTTTTGGCCCTCAGTGTCCCTGGTGCACACTGGAGTGGATGCAGGACGCAGGGTGTTCTGCAAACCCGCTGGAATATGTAACACCAATGGACAGTAGACACTTGGACAAAAGCCCCTCCCTTTCTTCTACAAGCCAACTTACAGTGAATCCCTGCATGCGATACCACAGGAATGAAAGTACCAAGGGAAAAGGGACTGCTGGATGCTCAGTTGCAAAGCTGTTTGGGTTCCCAAGTTAAGAAGAGCCTGGAGGAAGTCTCACCCATAGGTTGCAAGGACATGGGCCATGATAGGGCCCGGGGACAGGAGAGAGGAAGAGAGGAACGGACAGGGTGGGCATTCTCAGAGCAAGATCCTCCCAGGTAGCATGTCTGGACTCCTCAGAAGCCTCATCCCTCACATTAACCCTTCTCCCATCCACCCTGCATGCATGACACTGCATCTAAGGCACTCCTGTACTGCCCTAGGAGGGTGAAGGACCCTACAGAAGAGGGACACACTGATCATTCCCCACTCAGAATCTGCAGGTCCTTGCGCAGCCCCCGACATGTTGTCAGTGTGCTGGAAATGTTCATGGAATTGAGTTTGCTGCTGTGATTGTGCTAAGATCCAGATGCAATGAAACGTAGTGTCTGTCACCTTAAAAGAGAGGAAGCATGGGAAGAGAGCATAAGCGGGGGGTGTGTGTTTGTTGGGGGTCCCTTTAGAGGCAAACCCTGAGACAAGTATTCAAGTACATACAGTTCATTTGGGAGGGGCTGGGAGAAGTTCAAGGAAAAAGGAAAGAAGTCAATAAAGGGCCTCTTGCCAAGCACCTCCAGCGTACTGGGGAAGCCCCAGGAACCCATGTAGAACACATAAGAGGGATGAGAGAGCCGAGACGTCTGCATACCAGCTCTCATCAACTGTTGGCTGAGGGCTGCTGAAGAGGGTATGGCAATCCCACCTTCCGTGCAAGAGCAGCACAGCAGGAAGACAAAACCCCGGGACAAAATGCAGGCGCCTGCAGGAGGAAGTCCGACAGACGTGCAGTGATACGGTGAGGCCAAGGACAGTGGTTCCCAAGCTTTACAGTGCACTGGAATTACCAGGAGAGCTCAGTCCCACCCCTGGAGCTTAAAGGTAGGCAAGTGGGTGGCAGTGAGGATTTGCACCTCAACAATCTCCCTGGTCTGCTGTGGCTGGTCTGGAGCCATCCCTTAGGAACCATCTGGCTCAGCTCTGGATGTAGGCAGGGCACTGACTGGTGGGTACAATCTGCACGCCTGGGGGAAATTCAAACCTAAGACTGGCAGAGCTCAGAGACAAAGGCAAAGAGGTGAGCTACACTTCTGTTTTACCCTCTGTGAAAGAAGTCCTCCCACTTGCCTCCAAGCTGGTGTGTGGGAGTCGCCTGGCTGTGGAGCTGGGAACACACATCCTACTTCTCTGCACCTGCTGTGGCCGGGGCTAAGGCTACTACTCCCTCACTGCCATCCCAGATGCTCCCTCCTTCCCAGTAAGTTCCATCCTGCTACCTTTCTCTGGGTGTGGCCTGACAAGCTTAGGTTCCAAGGGCAAAGACCACAAACGAGCACCTCAGAAGGCCTCCAGCTTTGGACTGCATACTTGAATTCACCTGGGGATGAAAGCTTCTCCTCCTGATCTGGACCAGAGCTGGCCAAGGTGGCCAAAGGCAGCACTCAGTCCCTCTCTGCATAGCCTCACACAGTGACCTTGAGAGCCTCTTCTTCTGTTCCGGAAAGGGTGACTCCTCCAGGAGAAGCGCCCGCATCCTTCCCTTTTCACTCATTCAATGGCTATGATAACCAGAAAAATAACAAGCCTCCCACCCTTTGCTGTGTGTTTACTGTAAGAGCACATTCTCACAGAGGACACAGAATCCTAAACAGAAATTGGTTGTTATTTCATAATACTAAATTTTCACTTGAAACCTACACCATAGGTTTCACAACACAAAAGTACTTGTGACCTCTTAAGAGATGAGCGGAAAAAGGCAGGGAGACAGAAATAACACATTTACCCTTCACGGAAGCAGAGACACCCTCATTTATCTTTTACAGTGATCACCCCTAGCAAAGAGCATAACAAAGCCACATCCACACAGTTCCATTTGGAGATCAGGTCACTGCCATGAAGCCAAGGGGTTAGGTCTCAGACGGAACTCATGAGTACCTGGACCACTGGGTTCAGGAGGTCGGCCACCACAGAAAGCTGAGGTGAACACCTTTCATTTAAGAAGCACTTTAATTAGCTGCAGTCCTGAGCTTCATGGTGAGGGAAGGAAAAGCTTCAGCCCCTCACAAATCGGGAACATTTTTTTCAGCTTTCCCAATGGGTTGCCAAGTGACTCAGCATTGGCCCGGTGTGGGCACTATTATTGATGAGAAATCTTCCGCCTGGGTGATATACTGCATACAACACATGCCCAAAGAACAGTGCCAAGTCATACCAGGAAGAGAAGGCAAATTATTCACCTCCACTTCAAATGCAGGCAAATCCTTTCTTAATGCAAGGGCTACTCCATATCAGAAAGACAAAGCCCTGAGATAGTCAGAGATTTCCATCTCAGATTCAAGGAATTATTAAGCAGAGACTCTCCTTTCTTGTTGACTATTAAAAGGCAATCAAATTGAGGACAACTGAGAAAAAAGGCAAGAAAAAAATATATAATTTTGCAAAAACAGCCCCAGAGTAGAAAGCTGCATAACAGCAGTCAGCTTGCTGTGCTCTTTGTGAGTACTTTGAGCTCCACCTAGAGGTCATTGCCAGAATTGTAAGTTCGTTTAATTTGGGGAAAAAAGAATCGCCTTCCTGGGTCCAGGGAGCGACTGCTGAAAAATTTTGGAGATTTCTCTTTCTTGCCTTTCATTAAAAGAACTGCTCTGAACCCTTAAAGACAAGATATACTTGGGGAACCTCGAGAGATCCAGTAGGACAATTGCCTTTGATATCTGTACCTGTTGAGGAACTAGTGGAGTTCCTGGCAGATTGAACTCAGCTCAAAGAAAGCAGAGTGTTCAAAAGGTACTTTTAGAAGAAAACCTGACAGCTCTCACTGAAATGAAATACAAGACTGCAGAGCAACTCAGAGGGTAACAGAAACACGTCTAATAATAGAAGGATTGAGAATAGTTCTTCAAGACAGACCCCATGGGCCTTGTGTCCAGAAGGCACAGCTATGAGACATCCACTCACTAATGCAAGCTGGAACACTTCCCTGAGGCAATCCCAATCTCTGTTTCAAAAAGAAATGACCACACTTCCCAGGACATCCCTCCAGTATCTATTCATTCATAACACACACGCAAACCCTCCCAATCCACCCACCTCGCTCCAGTGGTCTGGCACTAATTCATAAATGTATCCCTCAGTCAAGCTAAGATGAAATGCTGCTAACAGGCCGAGGGCTCAGTTGCCCAATGCAAGCCAGATTCTGTCCCAGATAACACAAACTAGCTCAGCAAATAAATGATGCCTTCATTAAACAATATTGGTACCGAAAGTTTCACCTCCTGTCAGGAGGCTTCCCATCCACACAGCCAGTGTGCTCCTGTCTCCATCAGCTTCTGCCTTGTATGAGTTGTGACAGCTGACAGATCTTGGAGGGGGGAAGGAAAGCAAACATACCCTTGTCTACCTCCAACATTCCCCGTCCCCACCCACCACCCAAGTTCTTTCTTCACTACAAACACTGAATAGCCCTGTCAAATCTATCGACAAAAATATCCATGGAGAGGTTCATCCACCTCTGGAATTGTAGGGCTCTAGAAAATACCCTCCTTAAACTTCTTCACACTCAGGTTTCAACAAGGCACTCCCAGAATGTTGCCCTCTCTTTGCTTTTTGATCATAAAGCACAAGTGTTTGTGCTCAGGGCTGGGGATGTGGCTCAGTGGTAGAGTACTTGCCTCTTCATGTGTGAGGCCCTGGATTCCATCCCTAGCACCACAAAAAAAAGAAAGAAAATTTTGAAAATATTTGTGCTAATATTGAGTCAGTATGACTACATAGAGCTCTAGGCCCTCTAACGGTTACAATCACACGGAAGACTAAAAATCACAAATGTTCATCGGTGATCACTAAAGCAGGCCCGACTGAGGAGCACCCCAGAAAGCTAAGGATGGCTAAGCAATCCAGGTGATCGTTATCATCAGGAAGGTTTCAAACCACCTCTCTAAAGCAGAAATGCTCTTAATTTCGGAATCTCTCAGGTGCAGAATGGCGTCCATGGAGAGCGTAAAGGATGTGCCCTACCCACTTAAACTCTGGCTCCTTAAGAGTACCTAGAATTCAAGATAGACCGCATTCATAACAACACAGCTATTAATAATCTCCCCATTTACTCCCTTGTTGCGGAGTGTCTGAAAATCTTCCAAGGCCAAGCACATGTCCGCTTCTACCAAGAAATACTTTTGATTCCTACACGATGGTCTTCCACCAGTCTGCAGTTTGTAAGCATGCTCTTTGGGTCACTGGTACAAAATGATGGGTTAGGAGCACATCTACTTGGTTATAGGAAAGGGCTGGCCTCAGGACATCACGCACAGCGAAGGACAGAGTCAATATGAGTTTTTCTTCTTTGTTGAATCTTGAGGGCTCCTCTGCCAGCTGCTCCCCGTGACTCCCTACTGCTCTGCATTCTGCCATATCCAATGATGGTTTATGACAGAATTCAGTAGGCAGAAAGCCATGTGGCTCTTACAGACAGAAATTAAGAGAGAAGGAAAGGCTGACTTGCATAGCATTTGAAAATGCAGTCAGAGAAAGGAAAAGTCCGTTCTTCTCTCTCCTACTTCCTAGTGATGAAATCTATGTATTTATCCAAAACGCACACCCAGCTTCAGAGTCATTCAGAGCCAATAGCTCAGTCAATAGAAAAATCAATTGCATACTCAATGTCAAGCATGCAAAACCATTAAATCAAAAGTTGTATTTTTTATCAAAAGGAATCCTTACCTTTTCTTTGGCTTTCCTTTTTGTCGCTGCATCCATCCACTCATTTTCTTTCTCCAGCATGTCAATAAAGGCCCAGCGAACACCTTCAATCAATTCCTCCATCTACAAGAAAATACCCAAAGAGACAGCATCAAAGTACAAAACCTCAGACAGGGTTTTCTGGACCAAAATCAGCTTGCATGAGAAATTGTTCAATGCTTAACATGAGAAGAAAGAGGTTCTTTCAGCTTGACTCCAGGCTTGGTAACACACTTTCTACACCAGGAAATAACTAACCATTTTTTTCCATGAGAATAACTTGAGGACTTACTTTTAAAAGGATTATATGGAGAAAGGGATTCATTACAGGTCATGACTAATGAGGAATTCACCTGTCCATGACTACTAAATTAACCTATCTCTATCAAAGTAGCAACCAAATTTATAACTAAGACTTGAGAGAGACAAGCAAAGGCATGGGCTGTGTATTTCAAATAGGTACTGCAGAAGAAAGCTAAGGAACACGTGAGAGAGATACTGTTAGCAGAGACATAGGCAGGGAGAGCCAGCATCCCAAGGGGACTTCGCCAACATTAATCAGACTGATGTCAAGACCCCAAATCTTTCCCAAGTTAGTGCCAGTGGTTACACCAAATGCTTCGCTATTCTCTATCATTTTCCTACACTCCTCTCTACTCCCTGCAGCTCAGCAAAGTCTTGTTACTTCCAATCCAGAAGGGGAGGTCCAAAAGGAGCCGTATAGAAAGGACATCTTCTGAAAGGTCCATTCATACCCCAGTGTTTAGAGAGTGAAGCCAGGGGCCAGGGATATAGCTCAGTGGTACAGTTCCTGCACAAGATCCCGAGTTTGATTTCTGGAACCAAAACCGGAAAAAACATTTGGGCCAGGAACATAGCTCAGAGCACAACACCTACCTGGCAAACACAAGGTGCTGAGTTCAATTCCCAATACTAAAAAAAACGAGAGCGAAAGGCCACATCCACCTTGAGGACAGATTTACCCTGGCTTTGCTGCCAATAGAAGGGATTGGGGAAAAGAGCCAATGATTCTTAACATCAAAAGTCACTCTCAGCAGTGAGGAGGCCCCAATGTCTAAGAGTACACCCCCTAGAAATCCCATCCTCCTGCAGAGATGTTTTGGCTTCCTTAATGGAATGCCCAAGAAAGCATACAAGCTGGGGTCTGGCTACAGAATTAAATTTAAATTTGCAATTATGAGATTATAAATCAATGTTAAACATTACTTTTAGACGGATAGAAACTAAATGTTTCCTTTGTTCTATAAGAAATTGTCAGCACAAAGCTCAATATAATTTTTTTCTGTTTAATAAGTTTTCTGCTGTGTTTTCAGTTCAATAACAGTTGTAAGGGAACCAGAGCTGTAAATCAGTGGGCTGGGTTCCATCGTATGTAAATAAGAATAAACAGCAGATGGAAGGGGGTGGGGGGAGCCTCACAGCTATTTCTTCCCAACTTAGTAAAAACATTAAAAGAAAAGAAACCTCAACTTGGGATTAGGGCATGATGAAAACAGGACAGGATAGGACAAAGGTCCTACAAAAATCATTAAGTCAGTGGTACTCAAACTTGCCTGCACACTGGGATCTTTATGGAAGCATTGAAAAATTCCGACCAAAAGAAAACCCTAAAAATTAATAACCTGAGGCCTACACATGGGGAAACTGTGTCGCTATTCTAAAGCCCAGCCTGAGCACCGGGCGTTTTAATCCCTCCCCAGGTGATTCTGATGTGCAACCAGGATCGAGGCCTCCTGGGCTAGGGGAAACAATCTATTTTACATATAAGTCCATTAAGAGTTTCTGATCTCTCCAACCTCATAGAGTTAATCTAGCTCAGAGCCAGACCCTAACCACAGAGCTAAAATGACAACTGAGTTCAGAGCTTCTAGAAGTACCAGAGATGTCCTGAATAAATTAACAGAAAATGCCAGGGAGGTGGATAGGAACCAACTGCAAGATGCAGAAGTTACCATTTTAAACAGAAAAGCTACTACAGGAGGCTGTGACTATGCTGAGAAAATCTCCAAGGACTGGATCTCCCCCACCGCCCCCGCCAAGTCTTCATGAACTCATTCTATAGCAACACACATCCACCAGCCTCACCTGCGTGTGCATAGAGAAATAACAGCCTCCCAAATTAGGGCGGGGCAATGAGAATAGAAAGAAGTAGGTAGGGATTTGAGAGATCTAGCGGCGAAATGAATGGAACCAGGTGATGGATTGTGTGTGGAGAGATGAGGAAGGTGGGGAGCGTCAGATTACATCCTAGGCTTCAGGTGTGGGCTACTCGGTGGAATAGCTGCTGCCATTCTCTAAGACAGAGAATGCTGCAAGAGAAAGAGGCCTGGGGACAGAAGGCAGAGCATGGTGGGATGTGCAGCACACGGGAAGTGCACAACGAATCTCTGCAACCTAATTGCGGAGTTTGTCTATGAATGAAATCAAGCGAAGATAGGCGATGGGTGAACACAGAGCTAAGGGAAATGTTGTCAGTGTGGGGTTTGTGCACGTGTCCACCACCACTGCTGTTTCTATTGCTGTAACTTCTGCTGCTGAATAGGCGAGACATTGGTGTCAAATACCAGTGGAAAGGCCCCAACGACAAGGAAGTGGCTGAAAATATGGGAGAAGGAAAGCCATAAGTGGTCCCTGAGAGGACAGCGGGAACACGGGATCCAGACACCACGTGAGAGGATTCACCTTAGATGTGAGACAGGATTATGAGCAGAAAAGCTAGGACCTACTGTTGTCACTTGGCTTGTAACTTTGCTCTGCTTTCCAGCCCAAACAACTTGTTCGGTGCTTACCATTTTTTGGTACTTGTCATGTCTCTTGGAACCAATTAACAGTGAGCACCAAGGTACTCAATTGTGTTTCATGTTGAAACGTAAGTAAATCTCTCTGCTTTTTGCTTTCCCGTGAGTCTCAGTTGCTTTCTATGGTCTTTGAGCTTGTGACCAGCCCCCTGACCTAACTCCCAGTTTAGGTTTAGGTTTTGGAATTCTCTCTCTCTCTCTCTCTCCCCCTCCCTCCTTCTACCCCTCCCCTTCCCTCCTTCCTCTGTATCACCCCTTTGTTTCCTCAGACTTTACAAATTTATTATATAACATTTTCTATGAAATGCTGCTAAACTACCCCAGCAGACTTCAAGAATAAGACAAATCTTTGAAGGTGATTAATGGTGTTTGTTGCCATATCAATGCAAATAAAAGAAAATGATTTTAGCATGCTGGAACTAGGAAGATAAATCACTAATTATTTTTGATTTTTATCTTTAGACTACTCTACAATATCGCATACTAACATTGCCTTCAGTCAAGTCGTGTTCTCTGAAGCAGCAAAAACCTTACCTAATTCTAAAAAGTAGAAATCCTGTTCCTTCACCTTGACCTAACACCCCAACCAACCACCATATGGCATTAATAGAAACCACTTAAAACAGAAGTCATCAGGTTGTCTATAGAAAATGTCTATTTATTATATAACATTTTCTAGAGTCAAAGATTTAAATATAACATTAAAAAATAGCTGAGGCATTATTGTGGTAAAATCTGCCGCCCTTAAGGTAAGATCCCTCCAGACAAAGTAACATTTTCTTAAGCATCTACTTATTTCAGATATGTATGGATCAGTGAAAATACAGTTCATTTGGTTAGTGTATGGCAGTTGTTATTTCTGTTCTTCACTCCAAGTTATTTAAAAGTGGGTTCTCCTTTTTTATTCTGTGCACCCCAGGATTTCAGCCATAGGCTTCTGCGCTGGCCACTAGATACTAGTGAGTGACACATACATATACATGCGTGGATTCCCCTTCTGTCCAGGGCTTGTTTGAAACAATTAGACCCTCCTATCTTAGTACATTATAAGTTGGCTTTCCCACTCCTCTTTTCCCTCTCCTTACCCTTTTCCCATTACACAGATGTAAGACATTTCTGTAATGGTCCTGAAGGCCTAATGTATATGAAGGGACATAGGCCAACAGTGCTTTGAGGGAGGTCAGTTCATCCAATGGTCAGTTGTACTTTCTTTTGTATTTTTCTCTCTGGCAAGAAAGAAATACTACATAGACAACTCAAATCCTACCTCACACCCTTGAATCCCAAACACTTAAGGCCATACTTTCAGTGCCTTCTTAGAGTTCCTATCAGGTCTAAAATCAGAACAATTCAGATATGTTGAATTGCCTTTCCATTTGCATATTTTTGATCTTCTCAAAAGATCTATAAGCTTTGAGAGAACAGAAACCATAATATAGATGAAATGGGATCATGCATCTGTAAAGCAAACCAGAAGGTATCCTGAGAAATTTAAATTTTATTCACTTTATAATTCACATTTCATGATTTCATATCTCACATGATTTTTCACATGATATGATTTCATATTTCATGTTCAGTATCCAATACTGACATAGTAAAGCTCAGTGAATACAAATTGATGGCTTAGTGCTATCAAAACCTCCACTGAAGTTTCATATTTTATGATTTCATATCTCACATGATTTTTCACATGATATGATTTCATATTTCATATTCAGTATCCAATACTGACATATAGCAATGCTCAGTCAATACAAATTGATGGCTTAGTGCTTATCAAAACCTCCAGTGAAGTTTTTGCCAAAGTAATTAAGCAAGAGAAAGAAGTAAAGGTATACAAACAAGAAGGGAGGAATGCAAATTATGCCTGTTTTCACTTGATATTATAAGTAGAAATATCTAAAGACCCTACTGAAAGATTATTAGAAATGATTAACAAATTCTGTAATGTTACAAGATACAAAATCAATGCACAAAAATCAGTAGCATTTTATATATCAATAAAATTGCTGAGAAAGAAATCATGGAAACAATTCCATTCACAAATAGCTGTAAAAATTTCAATACCACAGGATAACTTTAACCAAGGAAGTCAAAGATCTCTACCATGAAAGTTATACAACACTAATAAAAGAAATTGAAGAGGATGCCAAAAAATGGAAACATCTCTCATGTTCATGATTTGGAATAACTAATATTGTTAAAATGTCCACATACCCAAAGTGATTTCTATATTCAGTGCAATCCTTGTGAAAATAACAA